GCGACGGTGACGCTCGCGTCGTCGGTGACGTCGTGACATGTGCGATAGCCTGGCCTCCTCTTCGTTACCACGCTCGTGCTCTTTATCGCCGCTATCGTCCTCGTCCTCGTCGTGGTCATCGTCGACGAGAATAAAGGAGTACAGGGTGCCGTCGGTGGTTGGCGAGCAGCGGATAGAAGGCAAGAGGAGCGAGAGCACGTGGACGACCGCGACGAGGGCCGGCGGCGCGACAGGTTGAAAAGATGCTGGCACTGGCGATGCGCCGCGAACACACGACCGGGCGCAGCAATTACGAGCCCGCGAATCCGCTCGCGGGTTTCGACCACTTGCAGCATAACAGCGGCAATCCGTTCGCGGTGGTGCCCTCGTCGGAGGGCCGGCTACGCGAAACCGGCCCGGAGCCCGACGGCGAGTTGCAAGAATTCGTAGACATCGCTCAGGTACAGCAGCTCCTGCAGCAGCAACAGCAACAGCAACAACAACAGCATCAACAGCAACAACAGCAACAGCAACAGCAGCAACATCACCACCACCATCATCAGCAACAGGTGGCGGCCGCTGCGGCTGCGTCCTGTATCTGGGGAGCGGTTTATCCTCCGCCACCTCCTGCACTCGGATACCATCATCACCACCATCACCATCACCACCCACCGCCACCACCTTCAGGTAACGTTATCACTCGGTTTGACACCTTAGTAAGTCGAAGCCTTTTAGGATTCATTTCACGTAGACGATTCCAGGAGGTGTCTCCTCGAAGATAGAAATAGCGAGCAGATCACGGTGATTTGTCGCCACTAAATCTAGAGTGCAGAGTCTAGAACCTCGAGCGTCGAGTGGTCCACGATACGGCTACGTGCTTCTTATCGGGAATTTCTTTATGGATCGAATACAACGCGAGGATGGATACGCTCAGCGTAGGCATAGCTGCGCCTCAAGACAGTTTTTCGTAGGATTGGATCGCCTCTTGGTGCGCGGCAACACGTTGCTACCGGTATTGGCGCCGATCTAAACACTCGGTGATAATCGATCTTTACGAGCGACACGTCGAAACCTGTATTTCAAGACCGGCTATTAAGTTTCTTGTCACCACTCGAATGTGGCTCGAGGG